TGGTGGAGGAGAGCTGTTAGAGAATGTAGTGTGGATGGTGGGGGGAGAGCTGTCAGAGAATGTAGTGTGGATGGTGAGAGGAGAGCTGTCAGAGAATGTGTGTATGGTGGAAGGAGAGATGTCAGAGAATGTAGTGTGGATGGTGGGAGGAGAGCTGTCAGAAAATGTAGTGTGGATGGTGGAGGAGAGCTGTCAGAGAATGTAGTGTGGATGGGGGGAGGAGAGCTGTCAGAGAATGTAGTGTGGATGGTGGGGGGAGAGCTGTCAGAGAATGTAGTGTGGATGGTGAGAGGAGAGCTGTCAGAGAATGTAGTGTGGATGGTGGGAGAAGAGCTGTCAGAAAATCTGAATGGTGGGTGAGAGCTGTCAGAGAATGTAGTGTGGATGGGGGAGGAGAGCTGTCAGCAAATGTGAATGGGGGGTGAGAGCTGTCAGAGAATATAATGTGATTGGTGGGGAGAGCTGTCAGAAAATCTGAATGGTGGGTGAGAGCTGTCAGAGAATATAATGTGATTGGTGGGGAGAGCTGTCAGAAAATCTGAATGGTGGGTGAGAGCTGTCAGAGAATATAATGTGATTGGTGGGGAGAGCTGTCAGAAAATCTGAATGGTGGGTGAGAGCTGTCAGAGAATATAATGTGATTGGTGGGGAGAGCTGTCAGAAAATCTGAATGGTGGGTGAGAGCTGTCAGAGAATATAATGTGATTGGTGGGGAGAGCTGTCAGAAAATCTGAATGGTGGGTGAGAGCTGTCAGAGAATATAATGTGATTGGTGGGGAGAGCTGTCAGAAAATCTGAATGGTGGGTGAGAGCTGTCAGAGAATATAATGTGATTGGTGGGGAGAGCTGTCAGAAAATCTGAATGGTGGGTGAGAGCTGTCAGAGAATATAATGTGATTGGTGGGGAGAGCTGTCAGAAAATCTGAATGGTGGGTGAGAGCTGTCAGAGAATATAATGTGATTGGTGGGGAGAGCTGTCAGAAAATCTGAATGGTGGGTGAGAGCTGTCAGAGAATATAATGTGATTGGTGGGGAGAGCTGTCAGAAAATCTGAATGGTGGGTGAGAGCTGTCAGAGAATATAATGTGATTGGTGGGGAGAGCTGTCAGAAAATCTGAATGGTGGGTGAGAGCTGTCAGAGAATATAATGTGATTGGTGGGGAGAGCTGTCAGAAAATCTGAATGGTGGGTGAGAGCTGTCAGAGAATATAATGTGATTGGTGGGGAGAGCTGTCAGAAAATCTGAATGGTGGGTGAGAGCTGTCAGAGAATATAATGTGATTGGTGGGGAGAGCTGTCAGAAAATCTGAATGGTGGGTGAGAGCTGTCAGAGAATATAATGTGATTGGTGGGGAGAGCTGTCAGAAAATCTGAATGGTGGGTGAGAGCTGTCAGAGAATATAATGTGATTGGTGGGGAGAGCTGTCAGAATGTAGTGTGGATGGTGGAGGAGAGCTGTCAGAGAATATAATGTGATTGGTGGGGAGAGCTGTCAGAGAATGGAGTGTGGATGGTGGGGGAGATCTGTCAGAGAATGTAGTGTGGATGGTGGAGGAGAACTGTCAGAGAATGTAGTGTGATTTTCACTCATCCTCATAGTTCTAGCCGACTTGTGACAATGAGACTGTCGCCGGTCGGCTCAGTAGATCGGGAAGTGAGCGAACACATACCGGTGTTTGCGCACTTCTCGATTCGGTCACGGCAGAGAGTAGTGACTGTAACTCACGGCTCACTGCAGGGATTCCCTCCTCCAGCGCTGACTGTCGGAACGGACGGGGAGGGGGCGGCTACAGCTGGCGTTGCCTCTAGATAGTCAGAGCCAGCTGTCACTCACGCAGCTGGAAGGATCAAGACATAATTGTTGGGATCCGTTTCAGCTGCGGCGCCTCAGTATACCGCGAGCGGTAGCTCGCGGTATTCTGAGCTTAGGGTGATGGGAGGACGCTAGTTTGTGTCCTCCCGTTACCCTTAGAAGAACTATGGGGAAAAGCCCTAACCCCATAGTTCTCCTTTAAGGAATCCATAATAAAGGAGGTGACAATCCAAGGAGTCCATGTCTTCTTATATGTAGAGAAACTTTATGTCTAGCAATAAGCTTCTCATAGAACATGACCGGAGACACCAGAGCTTTCACACTGGCAGAGGGGAGAGACGGAGATTTCCAGGCCCAAGCCTGTCCTTTCCTGGCCGCTGTAAGTGTATGTGTTAACGGTCTATATTGGGTAAGTGTAAAAACCTCAGGGATTGTATTCAGTAGAGTCTCAGAGGGATCATTACAGAAGGAGGTGTAACATACTTACTTCTCCACCATCCGGTTCAGGGGTTGTAGGGAGAAAATTCCAAGTTGGAAAGAAGTGAACAGAACCCCCCTCAACCATTCCTCAACTTCTGTCACTAATCTAAAACAAGAGGCGGACTTCAGTAACTGACAGAAGGAGCTGAGGGGAGCCTCACAGCCAATCAGAGTCCCCGCTTCACATCTCCACTGTTACTCCCTCCACAGGAACCAATCACAGAGTGGGATCAGAGTCACCAGGCAGATTCTGCTCTCCACAGAGATTTACCTCAGATTTCACACCTCCTCCACTGTCATTGGCTGCACTCCCTCAACAGGAACCAATCAGAGTGGGATTAGTCACCGAGCAGATTCTGCTCTCCACATACAGAGATTTACCTCTGACCTGACCACAGACACCCCCTATTATTATACATTTATATATCGCTGACCTATACCGCAGTGCTGTACAGAGGACACTGAACCAGGCACATTAATGTATATGACTGGGGGAGGGGACATTAGATTGTAAGCTCCTCTGTACAGAGACTGATGTGACTGGCTCAGCGATCTCTGAACATATGTCAGTGATATATATATATATAATGTAATGTATAATAATAGTGTGTGACTATAATATTCAAACAAATTTTGTATTTTATTTCTTTATTGTCTGGATTTGATGTGAGGTATAATCTGTGTGTAGTCATGGATGTAACGTAATAGAGGAATAGACCACAAGGCAGCGAGCACAAGGATGAAACATAACGGAGACTGTAGTATTTATATTCCACACAAGGTGGCGATCCCACGTGGTAGCCACCTACAGGAAGTGATGTAAGATACAGTCAGGAAGTGATACAAGGGACAGAAAGGAAATTATGTAGACGTAGAAACAGGAAGTGATGTCGGTATATATACACAGGAAGTGATGGAGGTGTGAAGCATAAGTTGGAGGTATGGAAAGTATCTCGCGTGTTAGCCACCTACAGGAAGTGATGTATGGTACAAACAGGAAGTGATGTAGGAGTGAAACGTGAGTTGGAGGCATGGGTACTGCTGGACAGTGTCCATAATCTCAGAACTGTCCCACAAGATCTGACACTCTGAGCAATTCAGCATTTGTCTACAGAGAGTCTTCTTTAGATCATGTGACTATTTGATTTCTAAAAGACTGCTCAGGAGGATTCTGGGAAGTCTTCATTGATAATTGTTACCTTCTTCCTTCAAATAGGATTACAGGATAGTGACCAATATATCTTGTGAGCCATTAACACTCAGCAAGTGTCTTCAGCAGACATCACCCATCACAGAGCCTCCACCTCACCGCCTGACAACAGAGGCAAACCGTGATAAAATATTCTAGAAGTTTCCAGTATCTAGAAGGACACCGGGATCTCTACAAGGACGTCGTGATGGAGAATGAGCCGCCCCTCACATCACCGGGTAAGAGGAGAGTGCAGTACGGAGGGTCCACCTAGATCCCCCATCATCTGATACACACATAGAAACAATGTATTCAGTCAGTGTGTGTGTTTCCTTCAGATGGATCCAGTAAGAGGAACCCACCAGAGAGATGTCCCCGTCCTCTGTATTCCCGGGATTCCACCCAGGAAGATCACACCGTCCCCCACCAGGATCAGGTACGGTCTAGATTACAAAGGTTCCTGAAGACTTTCAGATTATATTCTTCTTGATGTTTTAAGTCATCAGTGCCAACATTTCTAAGATAATATTTTCTGTTATTTTGTTGGTTTAGCATGAAAAACGAAGGGATATGAAAGTTGAGCTAAAAGAGGAAGAAGAAGAGACGTCTGTGATGAATTATCAGCAGACTATGGAGAAGGTCGGGATGATGGATCAGGGTATACACCAGAGTGAGTGTGATAATGATGTTAAAGAAGAGATAAAAGAGGAGGAGAAGATTATGATGGAACCGTACAGTGACACAAATCCACCAGAGAGATGTCCCCGTCCTCTGTATTCCCGGGATTTCACACAGGAAGATCAGAACATCCCTCACCATGATCAGGTGGGACTCGGTGTGTAGAAAACAAGTGATTCTGAACTTTGTGACGCAACATTATTTTATGTAGTCCATTGGTTTCATGTTTGCTTTACTCCATTTCATCTTCCCCTTGGAGGTCCTCCCACTTTTATTGTTTTCTATAAATCAATAAACATACTTTTCTTCCATGGGTCTTGGGCCCAGTCACATGACATAATGGATCCTCTTCGTCCTTGTATCCTCCAAAGGGCACATACTAAATGATGTGGTGCTGTCGTTTGCTTCTGTGAGTCGAGGCCGGTGTGATGAGGGCCTCCAAGGTTAAGGTCCCTGGCCCCCCAGGCTTACAGGAAATGGGTGGAAGTCCTGCAATGAAATGACTTTTTTGTGCTGCATGTCAGTAACACCTGCTGGTTTTGTCCCTTCCCCAGTCTTTGACTGGACAGTAAAATGAGAAGCAGCAGATTGATGAGCTCATCTTTCTGACACTTCGCTCTCTCTTCCAGTCAGCATGACCCTTATTAGCCCTGCAGTACAGCTGACTGGCTCCTCGTGCTGCTTCTCCTTCCCCATATCTGTTATATGTAGACTACAGGAGGCCGATACCAAGTCACATTCAGGTACTTACACTAGAAACACATTTAATGATGTAATAATGAATGAGGAGCTGCCTTCCTTTGTGTCTTCTATATATCCCCGGAGTTCAGCTTTATGAGATGTTTTCTATTATTTTGGGGTTTAGGGTGAAGAACGGAACAATATAAAAGTTGAGGTTAAAGAGGAAGAAGTGGAGACGTATGTGGGGGTTGACCGGCCGTCCACGGAGGAGGTCGGGATGATGATGAAAAGTGATCAGGATGATGACATTTCTCTACCGAGCAACACAAGTAAGTAACAGACACCATGGAGGGAACAGGTCACAGTTCTATGTCACTTCTGAGTATCTCCATTCCTCAATATAACGTCATGTGACCAACAAATGAGGAGGAGATACTGTAAACCATATGAAGGTCCATCTCCATTCCCCAATATAACGTCATGTGACCAACAAATGAGGAGGAGATACTGTACACCATATGAAGGTCCATCTCCATCTCCCCATAGCGGTCATGAATGAACAGTACAATGGTCTCCTGGGGTCAGAGGTGTTTTGAGGGTTTTGTCTCCTTTCTATGGTTGGTTTTCATATTTTGGTACAATTGTACCCAATATCATGCCAGAGCTCTGTGATGACTTCTAGACCAACATACATGACTCTGATTACTGACGTGTGTAATAATTTCTCTCCAGCAGATGGATGTGATATCAGGAATACCTCGGAGAGACATCTTATATTATCTGCTGATTGTAAGTCAGAAGATAATGTCATCACACAGGATTCTCCTGGAGTGAATCCAAACACACAAAATATACATCACAGACCTCACTGTTTGGAGACATCAATGGATCCCTCTGATCAGGGTGAATCTTCTGATCATTCACATACTATGACTGGAAATATCAATTTAGGATCTCACACTGCAAGAGATCCATCTAATCCCATGGAACCTTCCTCACCCCATGAAGGAGATCACAGAGGTGAGGAGCCATTCTCATGTTCAGTGTGCGGGAAATCTTTCACTGAAAACAAAACCCTTCTTAGACACCAGAGAATTCACAAAGGTGAGCGTAATTATTCATGTTCAGAGTGCGGGAAATCTTTTTTTAAAAAAGGACACCTTGTTGACCACCAGAGAATTCACACAGGTGAACGTCCTTATTCATGTACAGAGTGCGGGAAATCATTTTTTCATAAAGGACACCTTGTTAGTCACCAGAGAATTCACACAGGTGAGCGTCCTTATTCTTGTTCAGAGTGCGGGAAATCTTTCATTCAGAAAGGAGACCTTGTTATACACCAGAAAATTCACACAGGTGAGCGTCCTTATTCATGTTCAGAGTGCGGGAAATATTTCACTCACAAAGGAAACCTTGTTATGCACCAGAAAATTCACACAGGTGAACGTCCTTTTTCATGTTCAGAGTGTGAAAAGTGTTTCTCTGTAAAAGGAAAACTTCTTTCACACCAGAGAATTCACACAGGTGAACGTCCTTTTTCATGTTCAGAGTGTGGGAAATATTTCACTCAAAACAAAAACCTTCTTAGACACCAGAAAATTCACACGGGTGAACGTCCTCATGCATGTTCAGAGTGCGGGAAATCATTTTTTAATAAAGGAGACCTTGTTATACACCAGAGAAGTCACACGGGTGAGCGTCCTTATTCATGTTCTGAGTGCGGGAAATCTTTCACTCAGAAAGGAAGCCTTGTTATGCACCAGAGAAGTCACACGGGTGAGCGTCCTTATTCATGTTCTGAGTGCAGGAAATCCTTCCCTGAGAAATATATTCTTCGTAGACACCAGAGAAGACATACTACGGAGCGTCCTCACTGCATTCAGACTCGGGGAAATGTCTAAATAGACTTCAGTTGTCTGTAAAACATCAGAGAGGAAGTTCCTGCTGATTCTGATGACAAATGTACGATGGTTTTTATCAGGTGGAACTGTCCATAGAACAACTGGAGGATATGAAAACACTCGGACTCATCACATGGGTGCAGAGGCCTGTACAGAGAGATGAATGAGTTTATGCACTTGGGTGGCCCCCAGGAGTTTCCATGTGCTTTCCTTCAGCCGCAGGCAGCAGCTTGTTGAATTGTTAACTGGCTGACAGATGGATGGTGGGGGGAGAGCTGTCAGAGAATGTAGTGTGGGGGACAGGGAATGTAGTGTGGATGGTGGAGGAGAGCTGTCAGACAATGTAGTGTGGACGGTGGGGAGAGCTTAAAGAGATCATGGTATGGAAAGGGGAGCTGCGGTAGAACATATTGTGTGGATGGTGGGAGCTCCCAGAGAATGTAACACAGATGGGGGGAACACAGTGACAACACAGGGGAGCTGAGAGAAATGAGTGATGTTGAACTGCTGAGGGAACAATGTGTGGTGGGGATGTAGACATTGATGGTAAAAGAACGTCTCTACCAGGCTGTGGGTACTACTGAAGGAACAGTGGGGGGAGTTTATCAAAGCAATTGCGACAGTTTATACATAAGTCCCAAGGCTTGTAGAAATCAACAGTTTTATCTTTGCAAGGTCTGCAAGTATATATTTTTAGTCTGCTCAACGCTCCCTCACTGCCCTGCTGACAGCACAATCCCAGAATAAACTGTTCTTCACTAAGCGGGTGTACTGGGCTGAGGGAGACGCGGCAGGTAAGCTCCTGGCTTAAATATCTAGAGCTCAACAGCCCACCACCTATTTTGGAGCTTTCTCTGACCCGTTGGGTGTTACTCATTCGGATCAGGGGACAATATCTGAAGTCTTCGGGGAATTTTATACATCCTTGTACAAGACGAGAGATGATTATTTTGATTCTGAGCTGGGGGCTTATCTGGATAGTGTCTCTCTGCCGTCCCTTACACCTGAGGATGGACTGGACCTGGGGGCCCCAATCACCCTGGAGGAGCTGGAACTGGCTGTGGCTAGTTTCCCTAATGGTAAGGCCCCGGGCCCGGATGGGCTTCCTATTGAAGTCTACAAGACTTATACCACATCATTGCTTCCTACCCTACTGGAGACGTTTAATGATGCCTTCTCTGTGGGCCACCTCCCCCTCTACTATATATGAGGCCACTGTGGTAGTTCTGCCAAAGAAGGCCAAAAATCTGCTCCTTGCCGGAACCATAGAGGCCTATCTCTCTTTTAAATGCAGACGTTAAAATTCTTGCCAAGGTGCTAGCTACTAGATTGTCTAGAAAGATTGCCTCTGTGGTGCACTCGGATCAATCTGGGTTTATCCCTCACAAGTCCACTGCTATGAATATACGCAGAGTGTTCCTGAACATGCAGCTCCCTATCGATAACACAGGTAACAGAGCACTACTAACCTTGGATATCGCCAAGGCGTTTGACAGCGTGGAATGACGATATCTCTTGGCGGTCCTGACTGCCTTCGGACCAGGTCCCAAATTTTGCATTTGGGTCCGTTTGTTGTAGTACCATCCGTCTGCTAGAATAAAAATGAACGACTCCTTGTCTGCCACCTTTGGGTTGCAGCGAGGCGCTAGACAGGGGTGCCCTGTGTCCCCTTTACTATTTGCCCTTGCCGTTGAACCCTTTGCGGCTCTGATACGGCAGTCTACTGACATCAAGGGCTTTCAACGAGGCGACCTGGAGGAAAAGATAGTGTTGTATGCTGATGACACTTTTGTTTTTAGCTGATACAGAGTCCTCCCTCTCTAACGTCATGTCACTTTCATCTACCTTTGCCTGGTAGTCAACTGTGAGAAGTCCAACCTGCTTCCCCTCGACCCTATTCACAAGCCTTTGGCTCCTGGCTTGTCCCATCTGCAGGTCCAGTCAGTAATTACCTACTTAGGCATACAGATAACTGCCTCTCCCCTTGGCTACATTACTCTGAATCTGCACCCTCTTTTGACGAAATTTAGATCCCAACGCACCTCATGGGCCAAATCGCCACTGTCTGTGGCGGGTAGGATCAACTTAAAATGATCTTGATACCCCAATTACTATATATTCTCCATAATTCACCCCTTTGGATCCCTAGGAAGACCTTTCGCCTGATCAGCAGTATTTTTAGAGATCTTGTTTGGAAGATGAAATCTTCCATATTGCGGTCTGGAGGTCCTGCAGAGGCCAAAGGCCTCCGGCAGACTTGCACTGCCTAATCCATGGCTCTATTATATAGCTTCTCAATTACATCACTTTACAGCCTGGGCATCTAAGGACCATCACACGCAGTCATTCTCTCTTCTTTTGCATTTGTTTAAAGGTCTTAATCCCGTGTTATCTGGATAGTGATGTGTACACCAAAAGACACTCTGCACTCCCTACTGTACAACTAATGGGACAGGTCTGGTCATCGGCCAAACGAGCACTGGGTGTTACCCATTTAACTAGCTATAGCCCTCTGTGGCAGAATGGCAATCTCCCGGAGCTCCTTCCCCGGCATGGTACGCTTTAAGGTCGCAGTTTAAACTTGCCCCCCCCCCTGAATTCTCCCCTACTCTGGATGCCGTGCTTTCAGCTGAGCACACTAAGGGAGTCATCTCCTTCCTGTATAACCATCTCCTCCTCAAGTCCGAGGTTCTTCTGCCTTTGAAGTGCCGGGAGGGCTGGGAGACAGATTTAGGCGCTCCGTCGGATGACGGGTGGGAAGATGTACTCCAAGGGGTTGAACAAGTCTCGCTGTCACCCACTCATAGGTTGACACAATTGTTTATTATCCACAGAATATATCGTACACCTGAATTTCTATTTCGTATTGGGTACAGGGCTGACCCTAATTGCCCGAAGTGCAACTCTCACCGAGGATCTTTAAAGGAGAACTATGAGGTGAGTGCTTTTCACTCACCTCATAGTTCTAGCCGACCTGTGACAATGAGACTGTCACAGGTCGGCTCAGTAGATCGGGAGGTGAGCGAACACATACCGGCGTTCGCTCACCTCTCGATCCTGTCACGGCTCTCTGCCGTGACAGGGGGAGGGGCTGGATTCCCCGCTCCGATCCGCCAGCGCTGACTGGCGGAACGGAGGGGGCGGGTACAGCTGGCTCTGCCTCTAGAGAGGCAGAGCCAGCTGTCACTCACGCAGCTGGGCGGATCCCGGCACAATTGTCGGGATCCGCTTCAGCTGCGGCGTCTCAGTATACTTAGGGTGACGGGATGACGCTAGTTTGTGTCCTCTAGTTACCCTAAGGAGAACTATGGGGAAAAGCCTTAACCCCATAGTTCTCCTTTAATTCATTTACTATGGAGATACTGGGACAAGGTCATGGACGGCATTAACTCTGTTTTTGAATCCTCACTAACTAATTCTCCACTTGTTTGCATCCAGGGCATTATTGATGCACCGGATTTAACCTCCTATACGACTGTGGCCAATAAACGAGCGCTATTCACTGCGTCAAGGCTGGTGGTGCGTAAGTGGGTTTCCACTTCTCCTCCCACACTGGAGCTGTGGCTTAGTGAATTGGATAGGATGGTTGAGTATGAACGTATCACTTTTCAGCAGAGAGGTAATATGAAAAAAATTTGCTTCTATGTGGTCTAAATGGCTGTCTTACCGTGGACGGGCAGCGCCTGAGTAAACAGTCTGTGTATGTACCATCTTCTGGGGTCTACTCTGTGTGTATGTACTGCTGGGGTTACACTAGCAGCTATGAGTTGCGAGAGGTATAAAGTATACATGATACTTCTGTACTGTTTAATATGTGGCGCTTGTTCTGCAAATGTACACCTCCCCTTTTTACTTTTGTATCCCCCCCTTTTTTTAAAAAAATTTCTTTTCTTTTGTATTTGTTTTCTGAAAAAACAATAAAAAACTATCTGATGTAAAAAAAAAAAAAAGATATATATGTGCAGATATTCTATTAATC